TATATTATAATGAGATTTAATTTCTTTTTAAGAAATTATAAGAAAAGTAGGTTTTAGTTGGGTTTTTTCAATGAGATTTGATGTAAACGGGAAGGGAAAGAAGCAATAGGAAATAGGGAATTGAGAAAAGGTATAATACGATACTAATTAAAAGAAATCTAGCAAGCCATATACTTAAAATTTAAGTATTGCCACTATATAAGAAATGCATAACAACCTTTACTGACTCAAATATATTTTAAATCATTTAAACTCACATTTAAAATAAATTATCTCATAAATAGTTAATTTCTTAAAATTATTGTTATACTTAATAATAGATTTATTTAAATTTACCGAATTTTAATCTATATTATACCACATATGTCACAATAAAACAGATATTTCATAATAATCTAATGTTAATTATCATCTTTCTTCCATTCAACAAACTCCTTCATGTTTCCTCCACAAAGTAGGTACTAAATTATAATTCGTCCAATAAATAAAAATATCGACATTGGCAAAATATTCTACGATTCCATTTTGAATGAAGACATAGCATATAAAATATTGTAATATACGTAAGTTTTAATATATAAAGTAAAATCCAATAACTCTATCATATTGCAACAAACTTATTAAATATAATTATATATATTAGTATCTGATGTATTAAAATGTAAGCGGTGACATCTTCATAGCGGCCATTTTAATAAACATGGCTTGTCAAATTGACTTTTGACGTGTTTAATTAAAATGTTTATTTATTGTATATAATATTGTATTAAAATTATATATAATATTGTTTTTTATATAGGTATGTGGCAATAGAAAATTATATGATTCAAGATATTTTCTCACTTCGTCTTTGTATGTTTCTATTTTATAAACCCTATTGAAATATGTTATTTCCTTCGTAATGACAGGAATAAACAAAATGGCTGCCGTAATACGTAATAATGACTAGCATTACGACTCATTATATAACTAAAGACGGCACATTCCGCGGGATCAAACTATATCTTATTTTAAAGAACACGACGCGTGAACAAATTGTAATAATTCCTCAGTATTAGCATCATAATATCGTTATTATATAAATGGCGGCTATTAATACCCAACACTAATTTGCAAACAATCTTTCGTGGAAACTTCCCGCAGCTGTAAACGCTCGTGGCATGGAGTTTGTGTAGTTTTTTTCCACAATTAACCAGTCAGGAGACCTTAAATACCTTAAGTAGCCACTTTAACACCTCTTCAACTTCTCATTTATTCAAATTAACACCAACAGTAATACCAGGGATGTGTATTACTTGAATTAAACACCCCGCTACCATGAAATATATACAAAAATCGCTATCAAATCGTTAAGTATATCCTGGTACCGGCCACGAATTTTTTATTCATCCCTTTCACACCCGTCGATATTTACATAAGTTCGAAGGTGACGAACAATTCAATTCCATCTTTATTACAAGCTAATTACGTCGAATTATAGGGATGGAAGCGAAAATTGAGTGTAAAATGTAATATCAGCATCTTTTTATATAGTCGTTTAGAAACACGCGACGATCCGATGTTTAACAGCCACTAAATTAAACTATTTTGTATAATATTTTATAACTTTATGACTTTACCGCCTTTAATACGATCAGCAAGTATAAAAGTCAATATTAATACTTACAAGTTATGTTAGTAGTAAATGTGCAAACATAGAATACTCACAATTCGAATATAATTTATGACGAACAAACTCACATATAGTAATTGGTTTGTATATATTTATAGAATATTATATTTAAGAACGGGACAATTTGTTTAACTTGTTCAGCAAGGAGGTTGTATGTAACTATTGTTGGCTGAATACGAGCGATCTTTGCATTTTAATAAAAAAGTATAATGTCAATTATTGACGCGTAAATGATAAAAGAATTTTAAAGAAAAATAACAATATTTTTTTTAATAAGCTAGCATTTTATGACAAAAAATGGTGATATTGAAAAAAATTTAAGGTCGCCATGGGTGGCGGTGGTACCATTCACCTGATAAAGCATTATCATTTAACATACCCGTTAATTAGGAACTGAGATTACATCTGTCTTTAACGGGGCATTAAGAAAAACAGTGGCGTACAGATTAAGAGGAACTTAACGGTCTTTTGATGGCCTTATATGTTATTTGGACAGAGAATATACATTTAAAATTCATTTAATTTCAGAATTGAACATATTTTATAAATCAAAATCGTCTTTAACATAATAGTTTTAGAGTTTATTTTTCAAATATCTTTATGGAGAATCAATTTGCTTAAGTCATATATAGGTATATAGATTATATAATAAAATTAATTAAATTACTTCAATAATATGACTAATAAGGTTTTATTATAAATTTTATAAATCTTTATTATCTAAATATCAATGCTTAATATTAACAAGAAATTATGTCTTCTATTGTGATCTAAAAAAGGTTATTTTTATATGAATATTTTAATAAGTTTCATAACAAACTATTATCATTTAAATGAGTATTCTGAATGCTTACATTTATTTCAAGAATTTCATTTATTTACATTTTTATGAATGAACTAATATTCCTGACGGATACATCTTGCATTTTATACGATTATTATGCAAAAATGTTATATTTCATCAATGATTTTTATATAATTATTAATATTACATTTAATATTATAATGTTACAACATTCATTTCTATAATTTTCATTCATATTAATGTATTGCGTGGGTTGACCCAAATAACTAACATTTTTGTATTTAATATTATTTTCTAGATTCTTGATATAAAAGAATAATTTATTGAAAAATTAAATGAAAAAATATATATGTAGTTTTGAGAATTATATTATAAATATATATGTAGTTTCTTTCTTGATAATTATAAATGTATGATTATAAAAAGTCAACAGTTTTCATTCATAAATCTAGACACAGTATTAAAGTAGGCTATTCGTCTTCTTCCTGGCAATTCCCCAGCTTTAGCCAGGGTCTGCCAAATTAACGTAGGCTATTATTAAGTAGTAGTTTGTAGTTTCATACGTAATAATAAGGATAATCGTACAGACCTTCATTTTTTTAGTTCTTAGTAAGATTTCACAATGACACCAAAAAATATTAGTTTCATTTAAATGAATACTCGCGAAAATCTCATTATGTTGTTTCTTTGCAAAATATTCATTTAAATTTTCAAATAAGTACAATGAATGTACCAGCTTGTTAATATTTTAATTAATAATTGCAACACGTCCATGTTTTTTAATAATAAATCACAATATTAATTGTAGTCCCGAAACTGTGGCTCGAGTTTAACTTGGAAGTAATTTATTTGGCACAAACACGTCAAGGGGTGAATATGTATATACATATATTATATGTAGGTCTGTTTGTAAAGGATATTTAGGTTTTTTTGATATAAATGAAGATAGTATGTATTAAATTTTAAGTAAATTATGTTTATTATTGTGAAATACTATGATTTTAGCTAAATAAATCAAAAACTATTTGTTAAATATATTATAATTATTGAAGATATTCTCTGTACTATATTAGTATTGAAAATATTACTTTTTAATATGAAATATATACAAGATAAAAAAATGTATATATGTACATTGTAAAATTGCGTATCTCTTAATTAATGTAAAAGGACATTTATTCTTTTTAATGAAATACTTAAGTTATTACAATGAAATAATCTAAATTGTGTAATATATATTATTAAATTTAATTAGTTTTTCGTTTAAACTTTAAATTAGGAAATATATGTTTTTTATAACAAATGTATTGTAAGTATATTTCTAAACTTTATTATTACTTGAATGAGAAAATGTTTAAAAGAAATTCTTCTATATACATATAGTTTGAGTTTCAATCTATCCGTGTGCAAAATTATCATCGGAATATGTGCAGCCGTTTTGAAAATATTAATATCTAACAAAAATATAAGGCTGTATATTAAAATCCATTTAATTGTAATTATAATTTTATTACTTTCATAGGTTTTTCCATATTTTCTTTTTGTAATATTATTTTATATGATATTATTTGATAACATAATTACCATGACATTTTCTATTAAATAAAATACTTATTAATTTATTTAAATTCTTGTTAATTTATAAATAATTACAATTAATATTAAAACATATAAAAAATAAACGACAAATGTTTTTTTTCAACATAAGCTAGACATTGTTTAGTTAAAATACTCAATATAAATTTAGTGATCAAGTTAAATACAATAATTTCTTTCCGTTATTAATGTAATTGTATAAAATAAAAAAAATATATATACCTACTTCTTGTTATTATTGAAAAATAATTAAATTTTAATATATCCATTTTAGTTTTTTTTTAATGAAAATAATCTTATAAGAGATTTTGGATAACAAAAAATTTGTTACATTTTTTAATTTTATATTGTAAATTAGTTATTATTGTATATTAATTGTTTTATAGATAAAGGGTATTTTTTACGGTTTGTAATGTTTAATTTAAGAAAAAGACTTATTTTTAATAAATTGCTTTATAAAATGACTTGATCTAATTACCATCATTTTCATGTTAGTCACATGTTTTATAATTATTTTAAGTTTAACTAAAGTTATTTATAAGATAACGTTTGAAAGAGTCAAGCGTCGCGTTGATGTCTTTTACAAAAAGACAGAACATGCGATGTACAGTTAAAAGAAGATATTAATAATACGAAAGATATTCACAAAAAATATATAATACATATTTGATATTATATTTATCAAAAATTAAATCGTTTAGGAATTTATTATTACATTAATGCTTGATTAATTAAAAAAAATAAATAATTGAAATTAAAAAAAACTTACCAATTTTCCGTAAAACGACGATCGAACACTTCTAAAATTGTTCATTTAAAAAAAAACAACATCATACAAACATTAAATACAAAAAAAAAAATCATCAAAGAGGTTGAATATTGAACACAGAAAAAAAAACACTGGCACATTAAAAAAAAAAAACCGAATTATTCAGCCAAGGAGGTTAAACCGAATAGGTTTAATGCGCCGTCCGCGGCACGTAAGCTCGTGACGGTGCGTGGAGCACTTGTAACGGTGGAGCCCCGCCTACCAGCACGGAGGGGACCCGATACACCTCTTAGCTTCTTCACACTTACACGACCAGCCTTGCTTGAACCCCGCGCCCCCTCTCGCCCATACAAAATAACCAACATCAGACGAACCTCAAAGCTTATCATGGGTCTATATATTCTGGTCGGTGTTCTGTACTGTACAATCCTTCATACAATTTTGAGCTTTATTCCATTTTAATAAGGTTCTTTCGTGTAATTTAATTGTGAAGTCGGACTTGCATCTGGGCGGGAAGATAAACATTTATAAATTTTAAGAGTAGGTATGAGTAGGTTGTATTCTATTAGCGCGCTATGGTTCGAGAAGGTTTAATAGGAGCTATTATATCCGAAGGCTTTATATATACATACATATATATATAACTTACAATGTACTATTGGTTGATTAAAATAGACATTTCTATTGATAATAAGATCTAAGACTTTCGTGTATATTCATTTAAATTAAATTAATATTTTTCGTATACACTACGCGTGCTTTTTTGTTAAAAAACTACATACTCCTTTTGTTTGGAAAAATATTAATTTCATTTAAATATTCTATGGACGTTTAAATAATATTTCTTTTGCTTAACTTTAATAAAAAAATATATATTTTTCATTACACAGCTGTTTTAGTTCTGTTTATTGGACTATAGTCTATATGTTATGTATTTTTATATATGCATTTTGGAGCTTATGTAGAAAAATAGCTTATTATTCGTCTTCTACTATTAAGAATCATTTACTGTTTATCATGTCAAAATCAAAATCAGTATCAATGTGATTTTTCCGAGTCATATGTACTTTCTAAGAGTATTTAGACATCACTGATTAATGCATTCCCAAAGAGGATTGATGTCAGACAGCCGGCCGTAAAAACAATTAGCTAAAACTATTCACAACATGTAAGACAGACCCTGGCTAAAGCTAGGAAATTGCCAGGTAGAAGAAAGAAGATATCTCATTTATATATAAGTAATATCCAAAAAATTCTTATCAATGAATTAATAACGAACCCCAACAAATTGTCATTAACTTCCAACACTTATATTTAAGTTATTGTTGCAAAGATCAAAGATAAGTCAACGTACAAACATACATACATGTATATATATGTATATATATAAGTATTCGTTGTTATAAATGTCTTAAATCGCATATAAAATGTCATTTGTATATAAAGCATTCGCACTCGAGCGATCACCCCGACATTAAAATGAATTACACTACACATGTACACTGTATTGTGAACTTGGCAACTATTATGGTTATTTTTTGTTATTTATATAAATTTTTTTGTTATTAATATATGTTTTTTAAATTATATAGCTTGATACTTGAATTGCAATTGAAGTGTGCTTTAAATGCTATTGTCTTATATATTTTATTAAAAATCCAATTGTTGGTAATTTCAATTCATCATAATTGTAATTTTGATTCTATTTTTTAGATTTTAAGTTAATTTTATTTGAATTTGATTGAAAATTATATCGAGAAAATTTTATTAGGATTTATATACCTATTTTATAATTATATCAAAATGTATTTAAAGAAGAAAGAATGAAAGTGTCTTACAGAAAGTAACAATCCCAGTAGTGTATTTTTGTAAGCGTCAATTACTCCATCTGTTTATAATAACACTGTATATCTAATATAAAGACATATGTTTAATTTTTAATTCTACAACATAAACTACAAAAAAAATCACAATCCAAATGATCTCAAGTCCGAAGTCACAGCGGTCGCTCTAATTGTACACTTAAAATTTGAAAAAAAGACAAGCTACCTACAGACATCTGCCTCCTTCCGACGCACGTAGCAATTACAAAATAAAATAACAATAATACAAGGATATTTAACAACCACCCAAATTATTAGGAAGCCCAAAACTTCATCGCCTTTCACGACGCACCATAAAATAAAAGGCTAATTGAGAACATATAAACATTCGGGATATTAAACATTGATTGATACATTTGATCGTTAGTTAAAAGAATGATATAACTTCCAAAGAGTTATGTTACATGAAAATCGGTCCATCGTTTAATTTAAACTTGTATATTAATATAACTTTTGTATTAGCAAGACAATTAAGTATAATCAATTGTAATTAATTATAAACTTATACGAATAAATAATATTTTTCATATGAAAAAACTAGTTAAAACTTAAAAACTCAAAGACAGAATACTCTGACTAATAATAATATAATTAATAGCATAATCACTAAATAAACTTTATCCCCACTCCTTAACGTTGTAATTCGACATGCGATAGACGATAGAAAATAATTGAAGCTCTATAATATGTTTCACTTTAAATTATATAGTAAGGTATATGAAATGTTATATAATTATATACATATAAATATATTCATCTAGTTTGTTAACAGTATAGTGTGTGAGAGGGATAGCTATATATCTATTTCTTCGTCTTATGGGCGTTGTAATAGACAACAGGATATTTCGCATTTTTTTATATATCTTCATAATAAAAAGTCTCTTAATTGATCGGATTCCATTGACTATTGAGTTATTATGTTGATGTTTCCACGTAAATTGTACTTATGTTTCAAATACTACGGGTTTTCTGTAAAATAATTTAATTATATATGTATTATGTATGAAAAAGGGAGGCCTATGTCCTGCAATGGAGATTTTTCGGCTAAATGAATGAATTAATGAACATTAAATAAATTAAATATTGTATTGTCATCGATTTAAATATTGATATTTGTATTTATTTTTTGTAACATAATAAAATACTAATGTAGGTCTGTTTGTTCATACTTTTGATAAGCTTTACGTAAAAATACTGAACATATTGGGATGTAATTTTGAAGAATTAATAACATGCTCGTTTTGAAACTGAATATACCTATATTCCATCTGAGAAAAAAATCTATAAAAATTATAATCAATTTTAAAAGTAATAATATCGTTTTCCATTCGTAGCTGGCATGCTCAGTCGCCCATAAGAACAGTCTTTTAAAGGAGTCATTCCTTAGTACAAGTAATTATTAATTATACACCGACATTGTAAAGTTTTTATTAATAAAACGTCGATCATGTATTAGGTTTTTACTTTGAAACTGTCTGTAACAATTTGAGTGATTCAAATTAGTGTTAAGGATAAAAGTTTAAATCATATTGTTGCTGTAAGCAAACCAAGCTCAGAATTTTCTGATTGATGCTTGGTACTTTAAAACCAAGCTAATCAAGCTACCAACTTTATAGATTATTTCAATTAATTTCATTCATTAAATTAGAAATAATCTATCACATTTAAATAAAACTAATATTTTTAGAATGACTACGTGTTATTTTATTGTTTTTAAATTGCACACTCCCGACGTTTCGGTTACTTTTGCAGCAACCGTGATCACGGGCAGATCAAAGATGGGCAGATGAAACAATTAAGGATTTATGAAATTCACAATTGCTGCAAAAGTTACCGAAACGTCGGGAGTCATCATCATCATCAGGCCTTTTCTCACATGGAGAAGGTTTGAGCATTAATCACCACGCTTGCTCAAGACGGGTTGGTGATTTCAAACTTATAATTGTGATATTATAAGTCCAGGTTTCCTCACGATGTTTTCCTTCATCTGTCAGTGATGTCTAAATACTCTTAAAGTACATATGCCTCGGAAAAATCACATTAGTACGTGCCAGGATCGAACCCGTGCCCTTATGAGAGGAGGGCCTTTAACTACTAAGCTGCCACGACGTCGGGTGTATGTGTTTAAAAATAATCTATCAAGTTATTAGTTACAAATGAGTATGTTAATCATTATACCTTCAGATGTGATGAATCCATGTTCATCATCAGTCATCAATCTATGATCATTTTAGTTGTTTTTTTCCCTATTTTTTTTAGTAACACCTTTTGATAACGCGAACTTAATACGTTATAAATTACCATCACAACTAGGGGATGTTTAATGAGAATGTCATTTACTAGAGAAATAATTAGTTACAGATACAGCTTGTTCTTATTTATATATAAATAAATACATATATACAGGGTGACTGGTGAATTACTATCAATATTTAAGGAGCATACTCGGTACATGATTCTCATTCGAATTATGTAAAAAAAATAGGTACTTAATTTTTGACCAAATTTCCGTAAAAATAAATAAAGTGTGTACACGTTCCAAGTGTTCCAAGTGTGGACGCGTGCGGCGGCGTGCTGATACAACACTACGCCGCCGCCGCGTCTGTGTGTGTGTGTGTATACCTAATCTGTAGGGTGTTCATACGATGCGTATTAATTACGTAACTTTTGGTTAACTTTACTTAGAAGTTTATTAATATTTATGTTATATTAATTTTTATTTTGTCATATATGATCGTCATATATCACGTCCTCAAATATCGATAGTAATTCACCAGTCACCCTGTATATATAACGTCAATGGTGTCCTAGTGGTTAAAAGGCCCGTTTTTCATGCATGAGGGCGCGGGTTCGATCCTGGCAAGTACCAATGTGATTTTTCCGAGTCATATGTACTTTCTAAGACTATTTGGACATCACTGATTAATGCATTCTCAAATGGTTGATGTCAGGCAGGTGACCGGTCGTAAAAACAATTAGCCAAAACTATTTACAACATGTAAGGCAGACCCTGGCTGTAGTTGGGAATTGTCAGGTAGAAGACATATAGAAGTAAGTCGTGTTAGTTACATTATATATAACTCAAGAACGGCTGAAGGGATTAAGCTGAAAATTTGTGGAGAGATAGGTTAGAATCAGGAGACGGATATAAGATACTTTTGAAAACAAAAAATAATCCTCATTATATCCAAAATCTGTTTATTTCGTCATCAGCCTATGAAAGCCCACTGCTGAGCAAGGCCTCTTTCTCACATGGAGAAGGTTTGAGCGTTAATCACCACGCTTGCTCAAGACGGGTTGGTGATTTCAAACTTATAATTGTGAAACTATAAGTCCAGGTTTCCTCACGATGTTTTCCTTCACCGTATATCAGTGGTGTCTAAATAATCTCAGAAAGTACATATGACTCCGAAAAATCACATTGGTACTTGCCAGGTTTGAACCCGCGCCCTCGGCAACGAGAGGCGGACCCTTTAACCACTAGGCCACCACTGACTTACTGCCTC